AAAAAAAAAAACATTATGAAGTATAGCTTAAGCTGATTTCTGAAGTTTCATGTAATTTCAGTCGGACAAAAATAAAAACTTAGAGTTAATGCTCTTCACAACTAAACCTGTTTGCTACATCAATACTTTTAAATATGTCAAGAATTCTATAAAATCAACAACCTCTTTAAATTTTTGAAAAACAAAAACTTTTAAATATACATGACTGTGATATGTAACAACATTTTGGGACATATTAAGACTTGACCACACAAGTCCTATCCACAACACCAGCCTTCATCATTATCTTCCTTGCTGGCGTCTCTTGCCTTCAGCAATAGTTTCTGCTCGTTTCGAGCTCTTTCTTCATCGCTCTGCACATGCATTGGCTTACTTTGTTGCAGTTTGTGCACTAATGTCATGAAAATTGACTCAACATGATCAGCTTCCGCATCTGCCAAAGCTGACGTCTCAAAGAGTGCCATGTCATTTTGATCAGCAAACATCTGCAAACCACAACATTCGACTGATCACAGAAATCATTATTTAGAACCACTGCCAATTCTTAAGCGAACTTCACATGCACCTTATAGTAACTCCTTCAAGAACTTTTTTACATTTTTCCATTTAAACTGCAGTTGGAAACATCGTACTGGATTCCTGAGATAAAACATGTTCTTCCAATAAATTTTACAGCTCAAATAAACCGAAACTGATAGAGGGAATAAGAAGATACGTAACGAACCTGAGCGACATCAGTTTTAACCTTGTTTTCTGGAGTTAGATCACATTTATTTCCAATTAATATGTGCGGTGTAGTATTTGTTGAAGAAACCGAATTTTTGCGGCATTCACTGATCCAGTCCTTGATAGAATGAAAAGAAGAAGGATTGCTTACATCATACACAAAGACCACAGCATTTACATTGCGATAATAATGGGAAACAATGGATTGTCGATAACGTTCTTGTCCCGCGGTATCCCACAGCTGAATCTAAAATGAACGCAAAATACTGCTTAGTCATTTCCTTGATTCAAATATATACAATTCAAATAGTTCTGTTTTTATATTGTAGCCAGAATTTTATTTGAAATGCTCAGGCTAAAAACAAATAACGTAAATTATTATATTTTTAATAGTGCACAAGTAAGTTCATTCTTTATCAACTTCACTCACATAATAATGGTTATAAAAATAACTAAAAATAATCAGTAAGGATACATTTTCAGCCAAAATTTGTTCCATATGGCTTTTTAGCAACTACAATCAAATTGCTGAATAATAAATAAGATATATGACATTTTTATCAACTATTTTATGGAGGTTTTTTTTCAGAAATGACAAATTAGAGAATGGATGAAGGTTGTGTAAAATATGATAATCAGAAAAATATACCTTAAGAATGTCAAAACACTAATAATGTAATCGATTTTGCTTTGTTAATCAATATTCTAAGTTCAAAATTTAACCCTTAACAACGACTAGAAGCAAAAGTTAAAGTATCAAAACCATTACAATTTCTAAAAAAAATCTTTATTCGTATCAAATGTTTCGGACAACTATAGAAAACAAACCCTTATCAGTTCTCCATCGATTACAACGGAGCGTTCTCGGAAGTCTACTCCTATAGTTGATTCTGTTTGAGCTGGGAACCTTCCATTACAAAACCGGAAACTTAAACAAGTTTTCCCAACTCCCGCATCACCTAATATTATAACCTTAAAGAATTATGAAAATTAGCACCCGCTGACAATTCATCAGATTAAATCTCAGTGAGCAAGCTTCAGAAAACTACCAGAATGACATCACTTGTTACATCTTTTATAAATGGAATATTAAATAATTTGTTGAAAATGAAGCTAGGAAAAATACATATATCGACTAACTGTAAGCGATTTGTTATTTACAGAATAAGAAATATGACAAGCAGATACTTTGAAAACACGTCTAGTTCGATACGTTTTACCGGGATGATAAGCATAAGGTGAGCGAACAGCATCATTTGACGAAACTATTTGTCCCGAATTTTTATCTTTTTCAACTGATGTAATATTATTAGCCGGTGTTACTGAACAGGAAACAAGTTTACGACCAACATCTGCTAAAACAAACGAATTACAAATTTCACACGAGTAATAATAATAAGAAAAAAAAAACTTTAATGTGAAAGTAAGAAATATGCACAATACTGGTCAATAATTATTAGAAGCACTTTTACCAAAGAAAAAATCAATTTTTATTAAAAACTAAAATAGAAAAATTTTTTAAGCTATTCAAAACTGAGTAAGTCGAAAAGATCACTTGAACTGAAAATGAGACTTTTTAATTAGTATATGTTCTTCTGAATAAATTTGAATAAAAAGACGGCGAACAAAAATAAAGGATCAATAGGCAAGTACGTCAACCCCTCCAACAATTTTGCACATGCTTAAATTAAGTGAATATTTCAATTTCATGACTACTGAATTTAACACTCGCAGAGCGACAAACTTACCCCGATTTTGTCCTATTTTCGTAATCTCTGGTGAACTATGTAATGGAGCTGGTGATGGTAACGTAGTCACCACTGCATTACTTTTTGGTGCTGACATGGAAATATTGGATTGCACAGGTAGATGTACTGAGGTTTCACTGCGGCCAGCAAGATTCTCGTGTACAGGAACTCTCATTACTTGTATTTCTAACCCTAAAAGATATTGAAAATTCAAATCCTCCAAATTAATATTGCCACGGCGACGTTTCGCGTCTCAGGTTGAGAACTGCATGCATGATTCAAATCCCGAAAGCTGAAAACTTAGTACACTTCTTTGTGGCTCAACTAATTTTAATTTAAAATAATGCAGGCACAGCAGATGCTGTCTTGCTTCAGAGAAGAAAAAATAAAACTGAATTCAGGACTTATGAATAACTGAAAAATATGGCTAAATTTTTTTAGCCCCAACAGAAACCATATTTGGCATCAAAATTATTACAAATGACTAATTTAAAAATTTGCAAACATTGATGAAAAAATAATCTTCACTGTTCATTCGGAAACCTGGAATATTTCATTACACACTGCATTTAAAAAACACCTTAAAAGATTCCAAAAAATCCCTTTCGCAGTTGAAAGTCACAGTTCGTAGATTTCTAGAACAACAAAATAACTCTGCTGTTTACAGTCATAGCGTCTAAATCATTTTTACAAATAGAGAAGTGTAGATAACTATGCACAAAAAGTTTTTATTACATAAACCCTGCTGCCAAAGAAAGTAAACGGATAAAATATCTAACTGCTCTCAAAATTACTTGAATTCCTGGCAACTTTCTTTGGAGCCAGAAATTTTTAACCATTTAAAGTGAGAAATGATAGATAAAAATACTGATAATTAAATATATAAATAACATCACATCTCTAGAAACATTAATTGATTCGCATCAGAACAAATGGTAAGATTCCTAGTAAAATCCATACGACGATGGCAATTGGTAAACAAAGTCAAATTGGACTGCCAATTTTTTTTTGGCATGAAAATTGCTAAAAGTTTGTTATTAATTAATGACAAATAAAATATTTGCTTTATATTAGATTCAATTTTTATGTATCACAGTTTTTTTGAAAAAAAATTTTCAAAACAGGTAAAAGCGTTAACAACTGTATGCATGGAAGCATTTTTTGGAGCTTAATATCAAAATATTCACATTTTCGAAAATAATATATAAAATAGTGCACTTGTAAAACTCCATCACTGAAAAAAATGGGATTCTGAAGCCAAAAAAAATTAACGGACATCTTGCATATTTCCAATGAAATGTTTGTCTGGATTCGAAACATGATTTGTTGAAGAACTTTAAGATGTGCGTGACTTCCGTCGTAAACACCTATAAATAATAAATGAAACTCATTGAACTGAGTGCAGAGAAAAAGGAATTGATGAAAAAATCAAATTAGTAATCGTTACAGCCTCATACCTCGGACAATGCTTACTATTTCTTTCGAAGCATTCTTTATGAAATGCAGCTGAACAATCATGACAGAGAGTAACATTTTCAGAAAATGGAAAGATAGTCTGAAAAACTTGTAAACTCAAAAGCATTAAGAAAACCATGTTTTTTTCAATAGAAAATGAAATAACTGATTCGAAAAAAAGAAATCTAAATTACTAACAGCGGTACCATCACATAACTCGCAAAAAAATCCTTTTCCTTTACACGTCGAACAATCTTTTGTTATATGTTCGGTAAATATACCAATTATAACTTCGATTTCGGGCAATAATCGACCTTGATATAGATCCACTAAATCCACCAGACTGTACATACCTGAATTTTCAACAAAGTGTTGTCGATGTCTCAAGGCTTGCAATATCCGTTGATCGCAAGCTTCCTTCAATAGAAAAGTATTAACGGAAAATGAACAGATTCAAAAACCTTGACATAGAAGATAAGCTTTTCAAATTAGAAACATTGCAAGATAACAAAGTGAGCAAACTGTTTAATATTACTTTGCAACACAGAAAATAGTTTTTCATCAGCAATATATTTCGACGCAAAAGACTGATTCGATCGAGCTGATCAATATGATTTACCATTGCGGGATTCAGTGTGCAAATATTGAAGAGGGGTTTTCTTTCAATGACAACAAGTAATTGCTTGCTAGCTCGGCAAACCTAAAGTCATGTTTTTTGCAATGAAATGATAGTGGATTACATGTAAAAACAAGTAGAAAGAACACAAACCTTATATTTATGAAAATCCCAGTTATGAATGATACGAGCTGGGATGAAACACTCATCGTTCCAGTGACAACGTGGGCAGTAATAATGGCCGTTATAATCGCACAACCGTGGTTCACTATCAGCTTCGCTATCTAAACAAGATAGAAACTGCAATTTAATTTATTTTGGAATGAAAAACAAATGGAAAAAAACTGCGTAACTCACCAAACTGCAATGAATGATGGCATTCTGCACATTTGTAGCCTTGAAAATCTAGTCCTCGTTCTTTACAAATTTCCGTTCTCGGCCTGCAAATGTCGCTTTTAACACATATTTGACGGATATTCATGCAGCTACTGTCGCACGTAAGCACGATCCAGAAATTATCCACATGTTATTTCAATCCTACGCATACATACTTCCTGACTAAGAAGTTCTAAATGTCTTCTTACTAGACCTCTTTATCTTCTACTTTTCAAGCAAGACCACATTCATTGCTGTTTTACCAACTATATACTCATTCGAGTTGAAGCAGAACATAATTTCCACATTTTTAAGCTGTTAAAACACTTTTGAAGAACAAATTTGTAATTTGTAATTCGGTCATATGTATGAGCATACTTTTCTGGATATCTTTTCGTTATATTTTACCGCCATTCGTAAACAACTATAAACAAATAAAATATCCTCATCAATTCAAAATTTCGTTATTGAATCTTATGCAATAAAACAGTTACTTACTCTCCGCTAATCAGTTTAAAATCATTTTAGACAGAATCGAGTACAAAATTCAAAGGACTTTCCAGCAAAAATTAACACACCTGAAGAGAATATTGCTAACTTTAGCACCAGCACAATACCGTAGGACGTTACGAACACATTTGCCATGCGATCTCAGGCCACAATCTGTAATATACCTTACTTACTACGTAATTATTCCATTGCAAGCCTTACTTACCACGTAACTATTCCATTGCAAGTCTTGAATCTAATAATTGATACCAATATCGACTTACAAAAACGAAAGTAGACATGAAGGAAGTATTGTTTACATGAAATAAAGTCACAGAAATTGATGAAATTTTAAATCTTTTATTGAAAAGGATTAATCTCTCAGAATGTTGTCTACAACTATTAAGATTTTTATGCGGATTAATTCAATAATGCAGAAGATCACTAAATTTGGAAAATTTGATAGAAATTTACAATTGCAACGATAATAGCACTGAAGAAAACGCCAAATCGTCGATAAACAGACTTCGCAATATGGATTTCGGCCGGTAGCTGACTGTAAGGAAAATTTGTGTCCTCGTACGCTTACTGTTAGTAAAGATCGAGCTTTCTTAAATGGATCCACCAATTCTTCCTATAAGTGCTTAATAATGTTAACCTTGTAGTTGATTACAATCATACTTAAATATAAATTGTTTTTCCTGCTTTAATATTGAACATTACGTCTACAAACTATTTTCCTTAGTTTTAATAAATATTTCAGGAAAATAAACTACCTTTACATAGTCAAGTTCAAGCTGATATTGCACAAGTTTTTCCATCATTTGCACCCGATCAAAGCTGAGTTCGTCATCCTGAAATTTATTATTACTAGTATTTTGTAAAAAAAGGATCTGAACTGTGAGAATATTACAGATACAGAATACAATCCCACACTCATTTTTCGCAAACATCTTTTGCAGTGAGCAATAAGTGATTTCAATTCCGCAGAACGAGCCATTTCAATGGTGTTAGCTTTATCATGAGTAATCGTTTCATCTGTTTCGTGACGCATTAAATCAAAGCTATAAATTTCGGTTGCAACGTCAGAGTTTTTCGTGATCCTGAAACACAACCTCTTTCCAGCAGTTTTCATCTACCATTTTTCGTCTAGCGAGAGCGGCAAGAAATAATGTATTTAAAATATAATGAAAGTTATTACATATTATGCTCAATCTCTCCATTCCTATTTTTTTTCGTTTTTCCACCTGATTTGTCGTTCACATCCTCTGCAACATTTTCAGACGAAGTCTCTACACTTTCTGACTCAGCCATCATTGAAATCAGAATCCTACAAAAATAAAATTGCGTCAAACTTGTGAAAACATGATGACAAAACCCGAAATCTGCCTTTCCATTTCCGTACTTCGAGGTCTAAAATTTTCTCCCATCTTTGTGAAATCAGAAATTACTAAATGAAAAATTTTCATAGATAACTCAAGTTACGCTATGCAATTTTTACATGTTCCTATTGTTATCAGTGCGAAACTTGGGACATCCAGAAGAGTCCATTTACATCAATCAAACTTTTGATCTTAGAGAATGTGAGCCAACAGCATAATACGACTTGTCTGCAGATATCTCCCCAGAGACAGTCATACTCTATTCCACACATCATGCGAAATGTACTAGACACAGCTGCACTAATGAATACCATGAATTGACTGATTTCAGGCTGCAATAGGATGGATTAACTTCATGCCGAGATCGGGCCGCAATCTTACGCGTATATTTTATGGTAGTACTGCAACAACTTTGGCGTGTTTACTTCTTTAGTTTTTAATTTGCTTGTTACATGAATGTTCATGTTTGTTCTTGATATTATTTCTTGTAATACCATTATGGATTCAGTAGGTTAAGTCATAGAGCTAATTAATTCTTTGTTGTTACGATGCGACATAAGCATTTGAGCACAAATCAAAATTAAATCATTAGAGTAGAATATTAAATACAGACAAAAAGACTAACATACACGTCTCTATTTATTGTTTTTCATTCTTGTAGATTATTGATTTCCGAAGAAAGATAGTAATGGCTGACAGTGATGATGAATATCACAGACGTGGTGGACGTGAAAAGTTCGCTCGTGAACGGAATGATTATGGTGATCGGACTAGACGCGATTATGATTACGATAGGTAGGTGTTTCAGACTTTCTGAAATGATGGCATTGTGATTAAATTTCAGCTTCATTTGCACAACGTATACGCGATTACATGTTCATCATGTAATACTCCAATTTGAGAAAATTTGGTGATTTTTGCCCTCCTCTGTTTGTTTTTGAATTTTTTGAAGCAGGTGAAAATTTTTTGTATTTATAGACGCGGTGGGGGAACCATGAATAGTACATATCAACGAAGTGATTATGCAAATGGTACATTGGTGAAACGTACTTCACGTCGTGATGATTATACATCGACCGCGAAGCGAAGCAGAATTGAGTCAGTAATGGATTTTTGTTTAAATAAGCACTGCTAATCTTGGTCATAGTCGTAGTTGTTTATACATCAGTTTAAATTTATTTAATGAATAAATTTCTTTGCATCATATAAGATAAATGTCATGTTGAAGAGGAATTAATTGTATACATGTAATATAAGCTGTTAAAGTAGATAGGTTTTTCTTACTTTTTTTGAGTTCTAAAAACCTATATTTTTCTTTTTTTCAAGTTAGTTAAGATAACGCGTACAAATCTATATTGTTATTCATACTTGTTTTAAATTTGTGTTCTTATTGTTGTTTTCTAAACGCATAATTTAGCAGTGCGTACGACACGTTTGATCCTGTAATGAAAGCATCAGCAGATGAAGAATCAGTACCAGTAATGATGACCTTTAAAAAGTTTCTTGCGACACAAGATGATTCAATAACCGATGAGGAAGCGATCGCAAAGTACTCGGAGTATAAGCTGGAATTTAAACGTCAGGAGCTGCACAAGTTCTTCCTAACACATAAGGATGAAGAGTGGTGGGTGATGGCACAGATGTTCTGTCTGCTATTTTTTTCGCAATTTTGGGATTTTTCAGCTTACTGATGAACGAGTTTGTATGAATTCATTCGTAATTTGGTTATTGGCAATGGTAAGTTTTGAACAGTTATCATCTCCGTCATAACTGAGGTTTTCATTACTTAAAATTGTGGGAATAAAGAAAAAATCTGGGAAAATTTTCGGCATTTATTGTATTATGTATAAGTGGAAGATACTTCTTACCGACAAATTCAGTTTATTTTCCATTGGTAGTTAAGGTCAAGACTTATAGTACTCTATAAAGTTCAACACTGACCTTAGAGACTAGTCTTGTACGATAATTTCAATACTTATTTCAGTTTGCAGAAAGTAGTAAATATTTGAATTAGTATCAAGTATTCGTGGATAAATGTTTACATTTCAAAGTACGACGCACTAGTTTTTTTTGTCATTTTTTTTAAAAAGGTAGAACCTTTTGAATCTTGTGTGGGTCTTTTGCTGAATTTTTGTGGTGAGGACACTTTAAAAGGAGTAACCACTTTATCTTCTGGCATATTAATTACTCAATTTCGCATAATTTGCTCAACAATATAAGTCTGCGCATTTGGATAAGGAGTAACAAAAGTTGTGTAACTTTGGCTGACCAGAGGCGCTGTATGCCGCGGCAGCTATCATCTGTTTGTCACCATTATTATACATCCTGCAACAATCGAAAACTTATTTTCATCACGGAGAGATACTGTTCATTTTATCACATCATCACACTACTTCGATCAACTCTTCCTCTTCTATTCCCAAGCATTTCCTTAAACTTTATTAAAAGTCATGATTTTTCCACTCAAAACCAGTCAGCTATGTGCCACCTCTTAGCTTCTGGATCGCATTTTTAGTATTTATTTAAATCTTATTGAAAGAGCATTTTGCGGAACCATTGGGGCTATTAAATCGTGCAGGTCTGGGAGGAAAATGTGGCGAAGTAGTTTTACATTATTTTCGCGTAAAATATGTTGTAATGTTAATGTCGTATTTGATTATTAGTTCCTTCATTGAAGTTTAAGAAGGACGCATGGATTTACATTTTAAAATGAGGTTTTCGTAGGTTCCGTCTGAAGTATCATCCAGAAGATAGCGGTAAACGAAAAGCTGATCAGAAGGAAAACGTATTGCATCGATTGGAAATTTTCCAAAGTTTGTATGATGGGGATCTCATCAATAATTTGCAAATTGATTATGATTATGCTCCAGAACTTATACGTGTCATGGATACATGTAGGTCTTATTTCTTCTAAAGATATGTTTTGAGAGTACTGTATTTTAAGCTTTGGTCTTCAAGTTTTTGACTAATAAACTTTTAGTGGTTGTCAAGCTGGAAGGTGGCACGGAAGAGGATGTAGCAGCACTGAAGAGTGAAAAAATTGATGACGAGTCAGTTTTAGAATTAAAAAAACTCAAGAGGTAATCAATACAATTTTCTCTAATTATTGGGAGGTGAGGATTATTCTCGTTAAGCACTACTTATGGTTAAGTGTGGTTTAATACATCATTAAGTTGTTATAATGAAATTTATGGCAGTAAAGGATATAGGTAATTAAAACCTGGTTATTGGTACATTGTCAAAGTGAAACTTGGCACAAAGTTACTAGAGAGAACAATTGAAATTTGAAAATTGGGTTTATCAAAAAGAGTGATAGATTATTGCGGATGTCAATAAATTTTTGCAAGCTTGTGTTGGCGAGGACAGCAGTTCTACTAAATTCAATGTTAAGAAATCTTGTCTTGTTAAAAAATTGTTAAGTGTACCTGATTTCAGAAAATATCGCAGAAATGTAATTAGTGAGAATGCTCATCACATAATTCAGAAATATTTTGGACAGAACGTATCTGAAAACTTTCCATGTTACCAATGTTATGAAATGATTGATTGTTTTCATCTTTTGGAGTTTTAATTAAAAATTGGATTCTTTGAATCAGCGATTACTTTTTGTCTTTTTTTCAGTGAGGAGAGTAAAAAAATCGTTGAAATTAATGGACAGAGCAAATCAAAATCAGAAAAAACAAGTGGGGACAATGATGATGGTGCTATAAGTGATTCTGATGATGATAAAGACAAGCGTCAAAAAAGTGGTATTTCTGGTTTTTTAATCATTTCTAGCATGTTAACTTTTACCACAAAGAAAAATGGAAAAGCATTTAAAAAAATTAAAGGAGATTATTTGAATTTTGATTCAGTCAGTAGTTTGTTTTGAAATTTGTCATTCACAAAGATAGCTTTTGTAATCACATAACTGTTTTTAGCTGTGGATCCAAAAATAGCTTTACTCTTTTCTTCATCTTACTTCGGATTTATGGATGTTTAGTGGATTCTAGGTGAAAGTGAAGAAAACATAAGAAGTGCAGAGGAGGAAATTCGGCCGAGGAAAAAAATGTTGTTACATAAAACTTCTAGCATTTTCCTTCGAAACGTTGCTCCTAATATTACAATGGAAGAGATTGAAACGGTTTCTGTTCTTACAAATTAATATTTTAATGGAGTCAGTCTTGAAATTAAAGCTGAATAACTTCCTATAGACACCTTGGGAAATAGCGATTCATTTCAAAATGATCGAGATGATATTGGAACATTAGTAATGCTTATAGGCATGTAAACGTTTCCCTGGATTTTTACGAGTCGGTCTCGCAGATCCGGTTCCAGATCGAAAATTTCATCGCAGAGGATGGGTGACTTTTCGGCGAGATGTTAATATCAAAGAAATTTGTTGGAATCTTAATAGCGTTCGTGTAAGTGATTTTTACTGCATCAAATTTGATTCAGCTAAATGGATGTTTCAGGCCTTTTTGTTGGAGATTACATCTTTATTTTGCATCAAAAAGTTTGAAATACGTTCATTTTTAGATCAAAGATTGTGACCTTGGTGCAGTGATAAATCGAGACATAACACGCCGTGTGCGTTCAGTAAATGGAGTGACTGGTCATAAACAGGTAGCTCAAAATGATTTGCGGCAAGCTGCTAAACTTACGGCTATCTATGACAAGAAGGTGCTAACTCATTCTTTTTTGTTGATCAACTTTACAAGTTATGATTGTAAATTACTGATTTTTCGAAATGTTGCGAAAAAAATTGGTTTTATTGCATTTAATTTTAAGAATGGCCTTTTTCAACCTGAGGAGCAAGAAGAACGACAGAGCAGTTTTGAATTAGATATTATTGCACAGAGTCAGAATCCCTTATTAAAGAATTTAACCGATTTTCTTATCGAAGAAGCAAGTGCAGAAGAAGAAGAACTACTGGGCATATCGAGTGGTAATTATAATTAGTATTCAACTTAAAGTGTCCATATTTTAAAATTGATAATATTTTGGTTAATATTGGTTTTGAAGTGATTAGTAGATCCTCACATTACTGTAAAAACTGAAAATTAGCCGTACATCTCGTATTTTCTATTTCTAATAATGAAGTATTATCTAATCAATTAGATAGATAAATTGGCATTCTAGTATCATGCTTAATTTTTATTCTTGTATCGTGCTAATTAAGTGATTCTTTCTACAGCACTCAATAGCATGATATTAGAATACCATGTGCCAGATATTTTAAAAATTGTGCATTAGCAAATGACGGTAAATGTAGATAATAAATCAATTGAAGTGATGTAGTAGATCCGCACATTATAGATGGTGTCATTGAAGAGGATCAGAAAGTCCCATTCCAACGTGATGATGTATTAATTTCGAGGCTTGATCGGATAATAATGTATCTTCGCATTGTACATTCTATTGATTTTTATAATCATGGAGAGTATCCTAATGAAGATGTGATGCCAAATAGGTATATGGTTTTTATTGTCATGTGATGTTTATTTGTATTAGTACTATGTTCAAATGAATTGCCTTGCTCTGAAATATTTAGGGTAACATCAAAGGTAAATCAGGTTCGGTGGTTGTGAATCACAGAAGAACTTCAGTATGAATATATAAATCGATAAGCTTATGTTTTAAAAATTTGATTATCAGTCTCTACGCTTTGTTTGAATATAGGCAGATATAGAAATGAGTTATAAATTGTTTGAGATGTGGAATGATGCATGTTCGTGGGGCACCGCCATCTCCATCTCAATGGGGAAGTGATGATGCTGGTAAAACGTTGGTTTTGCAGAAATTTGTTACAGATTTCATAAGTGGATTCAATAATCGGATGGAAACAGCTTTAATGAGTGAAATTTCATTAAGCGAGTCTGAATTACAAAATTTGGGTAAAAAAGATATCGAGAAGTAAGAATTTTTTCGAAGAATTCTTTTCCTTATTATTTTTTGTTGATTACTGAAGTGGTGAAGTTTTTCTTCTGTTATTGGCTTTATTATCTTCACTCAGCAGCATTATGGCTTGATATTAGATTATCAGTTCCAAAATGTAATGACATTATAAGTAGTAATTTTTCCTCACATTTTCATTGCACTGTTTGAACTTTATCCCAAGATAAATTCAATTTGTAGAGAAGTAGAGGCGTTTATCACAGCCAACTGTATTGAGTTAGCAAAAGATAAATGGTTATGTCCTTTATCAGGAAAAAAATTCAAGGGACCAGAATTCATACGAAAACACCTGACTACTAAGCATGCGGAAAAATTAAATCAAGTGCGACAGGAGGTAATCTTAGTGTATTCATTTATTTATTATATGAAAGTAACGTTATTGCATGTTTACTTGACTTCCTTTGAGTTATGTTTCATTTTTAATGATCCAAAACATCAAAGATTACTGAGGTCTGATTCTCCTATTGAATATGAAAACTGAATTTAGGCAGTGTATTTTAACAATTACCTAGCTGATCCCAAAAGGCCTCAGAATGCAGAAGTGAAAGTCAGTCAATCAAGTCCTCAAGTGCCGCCCCGAGAGGAACGTCGGGAGCGAGAACGAGGTCCACTTTTACGAAATAGGAACAGAATATAGAGGGGGTAGTACCGTATAGTTTAATGATGCGAGAAAACAGTTTGTAAGCTGCTCTTTTTCCAATGCAGAATCTGAAACATTCTTTATTTTACCATTTATATTAAAGACTACGATGTTGATCGGAGTCGAAATAACAATGGCGGTGGTGGTAGTGCTGGTTGCAGTTCATCCTACATTGATCGGGATAGACGTGGTTATGAGCGTAATGTCTCTAGTGGCGGCGGTGGACGATACGGTAGTTCGCATGGCAGCAGAAGCTATGATCGGGGAGTAGCATCACGATATTGGGAATCATCTGGCAGTGGACGTCGCGATCCACGAGAACCAGTTACATATAAAGACCTTGATGCACCAGAAGATATTTTTTGATATTTGAAATTGAAATTAACTCAGTCTTTATGAATTTCGTGCAGTGCATTTGCTTAAGTACTGTGTTGGTACAGATGTCTGTGTTATATGTTTCTAGAGAGTGCACAGCTAAGCTAAGCTATATTTAATGACTTATAAGTTACTCCATTTTCTATAACTGTGGTTTCAATATTTTTGACGAATTGCAATTACTAATATATCATTGATTCTTGTCTTTGTATTCTTAAAATTCTTTTTGCGTTGAACTATGTGATCCCGTAACTCGTTCTCTGCAGGTAACTATTTCAATTTTTTCAAATGATTGCAAGATATAGGGAGTTCCGAACTGACTGAGCAATAATTGAGGATATACTTCAAGAGTCTCGCTGAAATCCTGTAATTGTCTTTTGTACGCAAAATTATTGCTCTTTAGTTCATTTCCTGTTAAGGGACTGGTCAGGATCTATTTTCTGTGCGATTCTCTCTGGTCATGGATTGTAGACATCTTTCAGTATATATATTAATTTAAATATCAAACTCGATTCTGTAAGTTCAGATGCTCGTATTGTTACAAAGAAGGATGTTATCCTCCTGCAAGTTATTTCGAAACAATATTCGAGACCTTTTACAAAGGGATTCTACTGTTAGTTGTGCATCGCTATATGGATAAGGATTTTTCCAAAATCCCAATCCATATGCGTACCGAGTTTGATGTCACTAGCAGTTATTAGAGATTCCTTGAAACTTTGTTTGACTAGGTTGTGTCTGTGTGTGCAAGTCACTTTCGAGAACACATCAAAGCTGCCAGCTGGAGACTTCAGCATTACGTTCCATTTTATTCGTGGCTGATGATCCGCAATCCCAGTCATGTCCGTTGAAAGTATCCCTCGTGATCTACGTAATTTGCGTGCATGTCTATTGTGTTCAATGATAAAAAGCATAGAGCAATTTGAAATGGATGGCTGCGACAATTGTGAACGGTATCTAAGTATGAAAGGCGATGAAGAGAAAGTCAGTGAGTGCACAAGGCAAGTTAATTTCGTTTTAAATCTGTGATGAGTAACGTGCTCGTATCCTATCATAGTTGATGAAAGAATACGAGCTTGACCGGATTTTAGGTGGGGATTCACCAGCAAATTTATGTCAATTGGTACCAATCACCAGATCTAAATGATGATGATGGTGATGAGTTATTTCTCATGTAAAAGTCACATGGTTGATCACGCGAGTTTCGAAATTGTTTTGAAATGTCCAATGTTGTAGTTCTTATTTCACTTATAGGATTAATTTAACGAACAAAACATTCAATGAGATTCAAAAACAAATAAGATAATTTGACAAATCAGATTGTGAACTACAGATTATCTCATATTGCAGTTCAAATTTTGATGGTATGATAGCTGCTACGGTTCCAGACGAATCATGGGTTTGTAAATGGCAAAAAATTAATCGTAAGGTAAGATCTAGTTCATCAAGATTCATTTAGAAACCATATATGTATCTCTTAATGTTATAACTAACCTTACTACATACATATCTTTTCAGGTAAAAGGTATTTACGCAGTTTCTGTATCTGGTACCTTACCATCGCACATTGTTCAAGAATTAAAGGCACAAAATATTCGTTACAAACCCAGTATGCGTGACATGACTCAGAACAGTTACTAACACTAGTTTTTTGGTATGTGCATGTTGCAAGTTGCTCATTCATACCTAAATATCGATAAAGTCTTCGACAACAAAGACAAAGAAATGGCATCATAAACAATATACTTCATAAATGCATAACTGCTTCAGAAAATAGATTTCTGGATAAAGTGGATTGAACTAATTACAGTGCACCATTAACGATGCAGTTAGATAAAAGCTGACGTCTAAGGCTAAAAATTGAATCCAGTTGTTAGATACTTATAGATCTCACTCACTTATGTGAATTAAAATTTGGGCTAGAAAAACTAAAGAATTCAAGTATGCGAAGGATTTAGCATTCGGCTTACAGCTTTTTGTAAATCGATGACAGAAGCAGTATACGAAGTAAAAATGGTCGAATCAACTTGGACTTGCTCCGTAAGTAGTATAGTTCGCATTTTCTAA